TGCCAGTGTGGAGACAATGTGGAGAATAGGACTGACCAAGTTTATGATCAGAAAAACACCTTACATCTTTCTCATGATGGACTCCATTATTGGAGAAAGGACTGACCAAGTCCTTTCAGTGTGGAGAAAGGACTGACCAAGTTTAAGATCAGAAAAACACCTTACATCTTTCTCATGATGGACTCCATTATTGGAGATGAAATTCAATCATGATACCTTATAACCAAGTCTGTGGAAAACTATCTGACACATGGTTTATTGCCTTTCCACTTTCCCAGCAAGTTGAAATGAGAATTGGATGAGAGTATTTAACTGATTTTAATCTTGTTAATCTTGGCTCTGTCTTTCAAAGAGTTGTTGAAGATCACCTTATTTGCCTTACAGATTAGCTACCATGTCTGGGAGATTAAAATATTCTTTCTTCTCCCCAAAAAGAAGGTAAAAGAAAAAAATAATAAGAACAAAATTTCCTATTGCCAAGGAAGAAAGATTTTGTAATAAAAGATGTCTTTGATGATACACAAATGCATGTAAAATTATGGGAAGAAGTCTTTCCAAGCTCAGAATGATCTGGTTTCTATGTAATTATGCTCTTAGTAAGGTTGATTCGAACATCCTAAATAGTAGTATTAGAGGAAGCGTCTCTAAGAATTAGTTTTAATTGCATAGCGACCATTATTCATTGACAACTGATTTATTGGTAACCTATTACAGTTAAGACTTGTGATTGGTTCTATGAGAGAATACAAATATAAATAAGACAGTTTTTGCTCTAATTAAGAAGTATTTTTAGCTTAACTGATGCAGCAAATGAATCTTAATTTTTCTTTTTTTGAGGGGTTTTAAAATCACTACTGAGATGATATTAGACACATAATGGAGTACATAGCTATTTGGCATCTAGTTTGTGCAAAGCACTATGCTATTTTGGGACTTCAAGGAGGATACAGATTTCATCGTTGTTGTTACAGGTCAAAAGGCAGGCTCACACAGGTCAAAGTAAGATTAAGAGGAAAGGCGATAGATGAACAAAACAGCAAATGTAGCTCTAGCATGTTAAATAAACACTAAATATATAATTTCACATTTAGTTGAATATTAACTATTAATTTAGTATTTTGTGACATATGATAGTATAGTAAAGCTGTAATACACTTTGGAAAATAATGCAGGAGAGTTAGAATTCTGATTTTGGTGTATAGTTTTTGGCCTGTATGGGCTTTTCTATATCCAAAACATTTTCATGGTGAAAGTACTTTGGGAGGTGAGATTCAAAAGAAACTGTATATGGGAAGACCTTAGTATTATACTTGGCACATCATAGATCTTCACTAAATAGTAATTATTATATTTCTGCTGATTGTGCTTTGGAAAAATCCAATCTCCTATGAGCAGTTACACACATGTGCCCACTATCCATCCCCACCGCAGCCTCATTGATCCAAGCCACTGTTGTCCATCAGCATGACTAGGATAGCAACCTCTCCTAAGGGCCCTTCTTCTGCTCTAGCCATCCCATAATTTATTGCTCAAATATCTACCAGAATGATTTGGCAAAAATAACTTGATTGATTCATATAGTTTCCTTACTTTAAGCCCTTGGTGACCTCTCAATGATTATGAAATATTAATTGAACTTTTTACTGCAGTCTAGAAGCAAAGTCAGAGCTAACCTGAATACCAGAGGAATGAAACCCAGGGGGAAAAAAAAAGAAGAAATAACCTCTGTGTTCACTTGCAAGAATTGCCTTAACAAAGTATCAGAGACCAGGTGGCTTAAGCAGCATAATTTTTGATTTTTCACATCTCTGGAGGCATCAAGACATCAAAAGGTTTCTTCTAAACTCTTCCCCTTGGCTTGGAGATACAGTCACCTTTCTAGGTCTTTACATGATGCTTCCTAGGTGTGTACCTGTGTTCTGATCTCCTCTCTGGATAAAAACACCAATCATATCAGATTGGAACTCACTCCAGTGACTTCATTTGAATGTAATTGTCTCTAGTTAAAGACCTTATCTCCTAATATGGTCACACTTCATGGTACCCAGAGTAGGGCTTCAGCATGTGAATCTGAGAATATTAATTATCCCATATCAACCCCTTACACATCTCTACATCTTCCGCTGGCATTCCTCCAAGCTCTTTTTCATGTAGTTTTAACAGCAGACACCATGATACAAAGAAACTATAAATACTTTGCTTAGAAGATGCTACTTTTCAGAATATGCGCTCTGGCGTAGATGCTCTGCCTACAACATCCAGGTCTTTATTCTCCGTGTGGTTTTCATTTCTTATCATTCTCTCCCCCTTTGCTTTGCTTCAGCTTCACTGGCCTCTTTTGTGCAATAAAGCCTTTCCCTGACCTTAACCTTTATCCCTTACAGTTCTTTCCACCTGGTATCCAATTCTCCCAGCTCTTCCAGTAGCTCATGCTTATCCTGTGGGTCTTTGTTTAAAAGTCACTGCTTTGAAGAGGCAACTCTGAGCACAAATTTAAAGTGGCTTTCTCAGTATGTCCCACTCTTAGCAGCCTACTGCCGTGATAGCATTCTGTCATTTATTTCTTTACTAATGAGACTCATCATTCTCATTCACTGTGACAGCACTCGGGCTTTACAGGACCTGGCATGTAGCTGGTGGTCACTCCAGTATTTATTGAATGAGTATCCAAGTGAAAGCCCTTCACTAATCTTAAACTTTTGGAACCTCAGTCAACTTCATAGACCCACGAAGTCATGTAAGGCAGATACTGGGTAATGTCACAAGCAAATACTGAGGCTATAATTCTGAACACAAAACATTTTTCAAGAATTGTTAAAAGAGTAGTATTTATGTAAGAATTTAAAAACACCTGTCGTTATCATGGAAGGATTACAACCATAAGAATTAGCATATACCACACACCATATAGTAAACTAACAAAGAAAAATTTTGCCTAAACCTTCATTCCCTTAGACTCATTTCACTGCCTTGGAACACCTATGATATCGTTATGCTATAGGATACAGTGTTGTAAATACTATTTCAGGAAACAAATGAGCCATGTCTGTTTCTATACATTATAGGAAATGGAACAGTCACACATAGAAACTTGTTAGAAATACAAATTGGTGGGCCACACCTTATACTTACTAAGCCAGCAAGTGTGCCCCACAATCTGTGCTTTTATAAGCCTCCAAGTGACAGAGACGTAGTTGAAGTTTTAGGACTACTGCCCTAAACTGATTTTCAAGGTAACTTTTGGCTTTCAGGAATCCTGTCCATTTGTTAGATGTGATCAACCTTAGTTGTTGAGTCATCTGTGTCCCTTTGCCCTGACTTGCAATGACATAGTGTTTCTGCTTTTTTACCCTTAAACAATTAGCAGAGTGACATCTTCCACATTTGAACCTGTTTGAATAAAACTGCTGTCCTCTAGGATTCAACATGTGTTACCTGCTTCTTGGATTATGTATTTCTAGAACAATTTGGCTTTAATGAGTTATTGCTAATTTTTTGTTTTTTTTCAATTCTTCATTCCAATAAAAACTTATTTAACTCCTCTACTTTCTAATGATGTGATTTGTTTTAAAAATGTAAGACATATGAAAGATAGGCATGATCTATACTTTTTCTCTTATTATACTTCCAAAGACTGTGTTTTTCTTAGGCTACTTATTCAATAAAGAACTTTCTCATTCTCCCTCTATTTATCTTTGTGTGGCTAAATCTTCATGCTTTAGAGGAAGAAACATTTGGATTCATTTCTATAAGGCTAACTTTAGACTTGGAGCATTAAATGATACCAATTGCTTTTCATCTTTTTGGGCATAAATCAGATTTCCCCATCTATACCCAAGGGATATATTCATCTTGGTAGCATATGTTATTATTTCTAGTTGTAAGTATGTAGTTTCAGGCCATGCACGTTTAAACTATTACTTAAGGAAACTATGTTCAAGGATGACAACAGTTTCTGTGTTGTCTTTTAGTAATAAAATACGATATCTGCAAAAACAACTGCTATCATTATTGAACACATCATCTTCTAGTGACTAGGGAAAGTGATTTACATCTTATTATCTCATTTAATACTTTTAATATAATCTTTGCCTGAGAAGATATGTGACCTAACCAAAGTCATACAACTAGAAGGTATTGGAGCCAAATTTAGACTCTAGAATCTAGATTTTTAACATACTAAACCCAAATTGTGGTAATGTCCCTTTATCTAAAATCTGTCAGACATATTATCCTCAGAATTCCACCTTTCCTTTCTGCCCCAGAACCCATATACTTGTTCATGAACCAGTTTTACTTAGACAGAGGAAGGTATCTGACTACTGGCTATTGTGAGACTAAAAGGGAAACTAATATGGAGCAAGTACTTCCATGACAAAGTCACTGTGTTTAGTTAGAGCTCTATAAAACTCTTCCCTGAGAGGTGTGGTTGGTGCTCTTGAGGTCCTAAGCAGTTTGACAATGATCACACAACATATCAATAGGCAGAGCATGAATGGGGGTTTCTTATAGGCCAACTGTGTTTTGACCCCAATCAACAGTGTATGCCCATTGTTAAAGTTATTACTGGTATCCTCAAATTATCTAAAGATGTATTCCTTGCAACCACTGTGGTTTTTCTCCTCTTTGCTCCTATGGCCACATTTCCTCTCTTTAATAGCTCACTTCTTTATGGAGGACAATCAGACGATAGCTATAAAAAAAATCACAAAAGCTAAAAGCTTTTGTATATCTACACTGCTTGTGGTAACAGCGCCCAGGGGTGATGTGCTTTGAATCCTGGTAAGTAATTGGGTTTTTTTTTCCCCTTTAAGCTACCAATGTTTTCTGCTTTGGTTGTATTTTGGTCTACACAGTTTTTAGAAATGTATTACTTCTCTGAAAATTTAAGATGCTTGTAAGAACATAACATTTCTATCTGTATTTATTCTAATTACCTAACTCTCCAAGACTGTAAAATTATAATTATTTTTCACACTTGCTTACTTCATTTTTATTAGGTCCTGTCACAGAAGTGAAAACTGACATATATGTCACCAGTTTTGGACCTGTTTCTGATGTTGAAATGGTAAGTGTTTGGGTAATTTAAGGTATCTTTTGAGGTTTGAAGAAAACATGCCAGGGAAGAACCAATTAATATTTTTTTTTGAGTCAATTACACAAATTTGGAAAGTCAAAGAGTGGCAAAATTAAACTTAAAAGTTTGGAGGAAGTAAAGGTACTGAATTCTTTACATTTCAGCTCTCTTAACATTTGAGTGTATAATGATTTGGAGTCATTCTCAAAACAAGAACTTTCCTATTACTCTTTCCATAGCATAATTTTGGATATAGTTTTATTTTTCTTTTGAAAACTATTGAGTAGACAATAAGAAATTTCAGTTAGTTTCAGTTTGTGCTAAGTGTGTACCTAATATTATAGTCCTAATCACATGTGACACTTCATGGTGATCGAATTGCTTCTGCCTATCCACCCTTTTCCATTTCTCCTTTGCTCTCTCATACTTCAAGAGCTTAGATCCCTAAGATCTGGTCAGGGAGAATTCACCTATCCAGTAGTGTTGTGCTATATTAACTATATTTATTTAAAATGTCAAAGAACCTACTGTATTTTTTTCTTGACCCTAGGATCCTCATGATCTGAAACTCTTGAGTTATTTGACTGATTTTAATAAACTCTGTTTAAACAAAATTTATCTTTTAAACATCTTGCTTTATCTTAAGACATGCTTACAGTTTTATCATTAATTATATAACTTGTTGCTCACTGATTTTTGCTATCTGGTCTACACTAAAGCACTACTGTAATTACCTGCTACTGGTAGTTGTATTAAATTACAGTAATTATTTTTGAATGATTAATTTGTGTGCTAATTTATTTCTTATGAATGTAGAAGATGAAAGGATGAAGATATATATAACCTACTCTGATTATTGAGACTCTTTTTGCACTATTGATTTGTGATCATTTCTTCTTCTGCGCATTTTATTTGGAGTGGTGTTTTCTGAGTGGGAAAGAGGCTAGAATGTACTGTAGTTTCTACATATGTATGTGCAGTCATCTTTGATTTGAACATGTCACAAATTAATTTCCCTAGGAATATACAATGGATGTGTTCTTCAGGCAGACGTGGATTGACAAGAGACTGAAATATGACGGCCCTATTGAAATTTTGAGGCTGAACAATATGATGGTGACAAAAGTATGGACCCCTGATACTTTCTTCAGGAATGGAAAGAAATCTGTCTCTCATAACATGACAGCCCCAAATAAGCTGTTTAGAATTATGAGAAACGGTACTATTTTGTACACAATGAGGTAATCATTTTTCTCGTTTTCTGCCTTACCCTTTTTTTCTTTTCTTGTCTTCTTTTCCCTCTCTACTTCCCTTTTCACATCCTTTCTTCATTCTTTCCTTCCCTCCCATTTTGGGGATCTATGAAATTAAGTCCAATAATTAAATTAATAACCATTAAAATAATTTGGTAATACTCAAATAATTAAATATTAAATAGTAATGTGACAATTAAAATAATTTTATTAATAAAATTTAATAATTAAGTTTAATTGAATTGCATTTTTCCATCATAGACTCACTATAAGTGCGGAGTGTCCCATGAGATTGGTGGATTTTCCCATGGATGGTCATGCGTGCCCTTTGAAATTTGGGAGTTGTAAGTTATAATAGAAATTTTGTTCACATTTCTGATTATCTCACACAGGATGATATTTATATATATGTAGATTTTTTCATAATCTAAAATACAAGTCATTACTCATGGAGGAAAATCATCCAAAATATGATTTTAGGAGACTATTTATCCACTAACACTTTAGAATGAGGAACTAAAACTCCCCTATCCAGAAACAAAAACGTGCCTGTACAGATGACCTGGGTAGACTGAGTCATAATTAATAGGTTTGTGGTCAGTTATGAAATGTAGGGACATCTGACCTAGAGGTGCTGGTGATGTGACATAGAAAGTTCAAACAATTGTTTTCTTTTTTGCAAATTTGTTTCTTTTGTAAGTAGAGACCTTTATAACAGGCCTGAAAAAAAGGCCAAAGAAAGCTCCTGACTTCTTCACGCGATACAGCAGCACGGTTAGTGGGCGAAGCGTGCGGAAGCGTAGTAGAAGATGGAGACGTGAGAGAATGTAATCCCTTACAGACCACACTAAAGACTTCGGCTTTAAATAAAAACTAGGGGACGGCTTTGCAAGGTTTTAATGAAGGGGTGTGAGTCTCTTTGGTTAAAGTTTCCTAATTTCAAGTTAGCCTTTCTATACAGAATGGGTTGTAGATAGGCATGAATAAAAGTAGAGGAAAGTTGGAGTCTGTTGTTTTAGTACCAGCAAAGATGGCCGTGGTTTAGACCAGGATGATGGTGAAGGAGGGCGTGGGAAATAGGGTGCTTAGCAAATTTTGTAAAGATGAAGTCAAAACGGTAAGATGAATGGATAGAAGGGAGCATGAGATTCCTCTCCTCAAGCCCCCTTCTCTGAGATGGCGAGGAAATGTGATTGCTCTTCTAAGGTCTGCCTCAACATGCAATTCAATCAGAATCTACCAAAAATAGATGCTGGCTGGCTTTCACTATTGCTTCAGACTCATCCTTGTACTGATTGTGAAACAGTTGCCTGCTGTTATCATTGCTCATTGCTTAACTTAATGAGAATCGGCAGTCACCATTCTTTTTATAACCCTAGTAATCACAGTATTCAGTGGGCTAACTCAAAGCTAAAGAAAGTCATTTGCTCCCTGACCAATGACTGAAGGAGAGAAGATAAAAACAGAAAAAATACATAGACACAAAGAGTGATCTCACTGGGGCCAGAATCAAAATGCAATCATAATGTAATGATTAAAATTTCACACAAGGTAGTTCTTATCCAAGGGAAGTCCTTCTTTCCCCATCTTACTCCCTCTAGCTCTCATCAGAAACACACTTCTGAGTGGCTTGAACATAGCTGGTGCTCAATCACGCTTTGTATAAAAATAAAGACCTCACATTTGGAAGCTGATATTTTTTGATTGGGAATTAAAAACAGAGGCACATCCTATTTGGCAAGTAAGGACCCTACATTTTTCTGTTTATAATTCAGAGGAGCGAGAAAAGCTAGGAAAGGACAAGACTATTGTAGCAAGTTAGAGTAGTCAAGAGAAGGATGCTTGATTTAAAATATCACAGACAAGAACATAGTACACAGGGCTTTCAATAGATAACACACTGTGAATAGACCTCAATAGATCAATGCTGACACACAACTGTGTAACACTAAAAATGACAATGCAAGCCTCATAGTTTGTTTTGCAAGGTTATTTGTAGAGAGAATCTCTCCAGGTATCGATTTTTTTTGTAAAATTAAACAGTTCCACAGAGAACCACCTGTGTTCTAGCCATTTTAGGAAGGTTTGTAGGGAGCAGGGAGGGAGCAATGATACACAATTCATTTTGGTTCTTTGGAACTTTTTTGTGTGTGAGCCAAGCTGTCTGTTCTGGGTAGACTGGTAAGCAAGCAGCTGGTCTCCATTTGCACTGAACACCAAATAATAGAAAATGGGCTTAAATTGCCACTGGGAAGGATTTGTTGAAGATAGAAGGGAAAATGTACTGATTGTAAGAGTTTAAAGGTAGTGGAACTGGTTGTGTAATTATAGTCCCTGGAGAGCTTTATAAACAGCATAGCCAGTTGTCACTGCAGAACGGTTACCAAATAGCCTGGGTATTGCCCAAAGGCAGAGTCTAGAAGCAGTGACCCCTGGAGAGCTCCCCCACTGGTAGAATTTGGTTTTATTTTGTTGTGTTGCTAGAGGGAGCATCTGGCACATGTCTAAATGGCAGAGCTGCTTTAGGATGGAAGAAGTCAGTACTGGTCAGGCGCTGGAGGAGAGAAATGAAAACAGTAGGCGTTTGACAGTACTGTTTGGAGGGTTCCTAATCTGTCTTTCAGCTGCTCATCTTATTAGCATGAAAGCATGTCCAAATGCACTGACGCATGCGTAGCCTGTGGGTGCCTCAGTTTCAGTCTCTTCTCCAATTCTTTGGCACAAACCCAATAAATCCTGCTGAATCGCAAAGCTATTTATTTAATATCTAGCTTCCTAAATTGTAAGCATGTTTGAATAAAACATAATGAAAATTATTTTCATTTATTCCATCTTTCTCAAACATGTGTTATATTCTTACATGCTGATCACCACTGCTGACGAAAGAGAAGCCCAGACTCTCACCACGTGTTCTTCTCTCATCCAGATGCATATCCGAAGAGTGAGATGATTTATACCTGGACAAAGGGTCCTGAGAAATCAGTGGAAGTGCCAAAGGAGTCTTCCAGCTTGGTTCAGTATGACCTCATTGGGCAAACGGTGTCGAGTGAGACTATCAAGTCAATTACAGGTGAGATGTGTAACGGTTGAATTCAACATACTTCTTGGCATCAGCAATAGCGTTTGTCCTAGCTTTTCTATTGAAATATCTGATGTTTTCAGGGGAACAGAAAACATTTCCAGAAATAGAATTGATGCATAAGCCACAGCTCTCAATTTCTTTATTTATATTTATAATCTTATTATAATTTAAAATAAATTCTGAGTTGGTGAAATGTGAGAAGATAGTTAGCTGGTTTATTTTGACCAAAAAAATCAGTTATCAAATGTGTTAAAGCTATTCTCAACAAAAATATAAGGCAGGAACTCTGAGCCTGCATTTTTGATGTTTTATGAAAATTTTGTCTTGTCCAATTTTAAGTCACATTCTCCACTTTTTTCCAAAATAAAAGTAAAATCTAAGGATTAATGACAGAAGATAGTGAGGGTAGATACTAAAGTTGTCACATATGTAAGTGAATGAAGATTATCCATGATTCTTAGCTTTAGAATGTGGATGGAATCATAGAATTTAGTTTTTACTCTCATTGGGAAAAATCAGCTGATTATGGCTTATTTAAAACTTCTGATGTACATATAGCACCAGGAAAATACTAATTTTTTGATGATAGCTGTTTCACCCATTTGTGCTGCTGTAACAAACTGTTGAAAGCTGAGTAGTTAATAAAGAACAGAAATCTGTTTCTCACAGTCTTGGAGGCTGAGAAATTGAAAATTAATTGGTGGGAAGTTGAAAATTAAGGACACTCTCTTTATATCAACTATGAAACTGGACAGTCGCCTCTAACAGGGCACTTTTCCTCCTATCTTTCTAGAAAAACATTTTGAAAGAAGTCAGTCTTTGATAAGAGTTCCTCTTCTGGTCCATTAAATGGTGCCTTTTCAAAATGTCCTAGAGATAGGGCACACTGTCAACAATACAGCATAGAATACTTAAATATCTGTTAGGAGGATGATACTGGGTATTCTTATCTCAAAAATGATAAATAAAAAATGCGAAGGAAGTTAGGCTTCACTTTTGGAAGTGAAGGATAACTTTATGACACAAATGGTGGGGATGGTTTCACAGATGGATACTTACCTTCAAATGAACCAAGTTGTAGACATTAAGTATTTACAGCATTTTATGTGCCAACTATACCTTATAAACCTGCTTAAAAATTAAAGGGAAATGAGGGGAAATTACTTATGAAAACTAAAATGGATCTACAAGCTCTTATTAAACACATTTAACCTATTATCTTCTCTGTTTAAACTGCTTTGTATAATCCCACACAATGTCATGAGGTCAATAGCATTCCTCCTTCCTTTAAATCCCTTGATTTTGTTCTTCCAAACACCAGTCATGAAAATCAGGACACTTTATCATGATTAAGGACACCTTCTTCACATCAGTTATGAAACTATACAGTAAGCTTCTAACAGGGCACTTTTCCTCTCATCTATCCAGGAAAAAATTTTTTTAAAAGGTACTCATTTTCCATTCTGCAAGTGTGGCTTAACACATCTGGAGCATGTGAGGTTTTGAATTTCTTCAGTCTGAATGAGAGCACTGCTCCCTAAATAACGCCTTAGTATGCACTTTTTTTCCAGATATAAGAGTAAAAGTGGTTTCCAGAAAATTTAGGGTTTAATTTATTAGCTATTTAAATTATTTCTCTGTGTTATACATTTGTTTGTATTTTTGTTTATATATAGCATTTATAAATATAACACATTCCTTAAAATTAAGTAGCTTTTCCTAAGCATGTATGTGTATGAACTATGTGTGGAGGATATGTTCATATGTGTTGTTACATATTTTATATATATGAAATTTTTATGCTCCATTTCTTTTGAAAATTAAAGCTTTTTTTTCTAGTGGTTTTCTGTAAAATTATGTCTAAATTCTGTTCTCAAGTATGGTGTAGGAACCTGAAGAATAAGTAAAACTCAAAATGTACAATAGATGACGGAAAAGGGAAAGAAATTACTCAAAGGAAGGAATGACTGAGATGAGGGAAAGAAGAAAATAGAAAGAAGGAAGGCAAAATATAAATGTATATAGGAAGATGTGATAACTATATTGCTGATGTCTGATGCAATATTGAAAGGAACAGTTAAGGCTTAACATTTTTTATGTTCTGATCAATTTTGCATGCTTATATCTGCTAATCTGAGCAACTGATTTGAAGGTAACAATATGCAATGGAATTACCTTGATAAATTCTTAGCATCTTGTCTAGTGAAACTCTGTATTATCTCTAAGGTTTTATCTAATAATTGTTTTCTTATTCTCTTTAATGGTTTGAACAATCTTCCATTCTTAGATCTGGTAATCCGAGCAACGCAGTTGAGGATAGTGATCTGTAATATAACAACCACTGTTAATTCGTATTATTTTGTCTTGAGACTATCACTTGGAATGTTCTTGCTTTGACTTTGTTTATGTTTGTGATACTGGTATGCTGCTACTGTTCTATTTCTTTGTTTCTCATTTACTACACTCTTTAAAATAAAATAAAAAAAGATTTGCTGAAAATGAAATCTGATTACTTTAGCAGTGTTAAAACTTCAAAGCAGAAATCAATGCAACTACTTTTTTAAAGTTATAGTCCAATTTATTAAATTGCTTAATGGCTACAAAGAACAAAAATGTTTTTCTGAATAATGATGTCCAATATCATCTCTCTGCCCTCCCCCCCATTAAGAATCAATTTCATTCTCATCCTTTATATTAGACAAAAAGATAATTATTTTGTTTACAATATTGTTTGTTATTCTGAAATATGATCTTGAAGCTATGGAATAATTGCCTACAGAACCAATAATGCATTCTTTTTCCTGTTTTGTGGTAGGTGAATACATTGTTATGACAGTTTACTTTCATCTCAGACGGAAGATGGGCTATTTTATGATTCAGACGTATATCCCCTGCATTATGACGGTGATTCTTTCTCAAGTTTCATTCTGGATAAATAAAGAATCAGTTCCAGCTAGGACTGTATTTGGTAAATGCAATTCATTTATTGGGTGTTATTATCCACATTATATTTTAATCACAATTCCTGGGAATAGCCCTTAGATATTCCTAGAAAATATTAATCACCAATATATCAAATCACATGTGCTTTCATTTTTCCCTAGTCAATGCAGCCTACTAATGCTTGAGGAGTTATAGGCAATCTGTTTCTTTCTCTGGGACTACATCAAAGTTCCGCAGTTGAACCGGTCAGGTGAAGACCATAAGTGAATCTAGATACAATTTCACTGTCAGTGATATTCTTGGGATTCCAACATAAAGCTGTGTAATTGAATTAAAATTATAACTAGGTGTTAAAATGAAATGCACTCAGAGCTTAAAATAAAACAAATAAAAGTCATGGCTGAATGAATATGAAAGCCTTAGAATAACTTGGGTTTTAGTGAAGAGGAACAAAATTGAAATGTTTTAAATGAATTGAATTCAAAGGTATTATGTGCTAATTTACAAGCTCATTATTATATTTTATCTACATAACTCTTTTCTTAACCAACATTTTGTCTTATTTTTGTTTTTAGTTGCTTAGAGTGTTCTAAATCATAAGAAATTCCGAACAGCATGTATACATTTAAAGTTTTTGTACCTGCTACTAAGTCTTTTATATATCACTCATGCTTTCATATCACAAAATTGCTTATATCTATTTAATTTAGCATTTTCTCCATTTTTTCTGTTTATTGTGACTAATGAAAACATTCAGTGGTGGGATAAGAATGCAAATGATCAGAATTTCTCTGAAATGGAGGCCTAATCTTCACATGAGATACCAGGTTCCCTTTGCTTTTATTTTCAGTAGCACCAAAACCATGGCACAATATCCCTTCTCAGACAGTAACTGAAGGGCAGCTAGTGAGAAGGCACTGGAGGGATGGGGAGCCTTTCTTCCTACCTCTCCATCTTTCAAAGAACTGCCAAAGGCATGTCTTGGTTTCCTGAAGAAGCCTAAACTCCTTCTGCAGAGGTATTTCCTCTATACATAGCTCTGCTCCCTTTAATCTTAGGCTCACACAAGATATTTGAATCATACAGGAGAAGCTCATGCAGAGGGCCAATGTTAAGAGACTGTGAGGGCAGTGAGCAGGTACAAATGGTACTGCCTATTTCACAGAGTTCTGAGGGTCTGTTAAAGGATAACCGCACATTGCAAGTGGAATAAATTTTAGCTACTACATATAGATGTTAAAATAAAAAAGAGAAAACATATATCTCACCATTGGATATACAGATCAGGGTTTAAAACTCATATATACCATGTATTTTCTCCATATTTAAATTGTATTAATACATGTTTTCCTCATAGATATGTGAAGGTTTAAAAAGAGTTTTGTTGCATACTCAATACAGGATACCTGGTACACGTATTATATGTTGCTTACTGTCCCACATTTCTCTTGCATAGGAGTGATTTATTTTGTTCCAACATGTTTTCACTGGTTTTTAAAGAAAATATCTATCATCTGACTACCTACCTATCTAACCATCTGTCTGTCTGTCTATCTATCATGTACTACCAGACATTGTGAAGTTCTTGATGCTTGCACTAATCTTGAGTCCTTACACACCATGTTCAAAGGTAGCTTGACTGGACAAGAAATGTCTACAGAGTCTGAGAACCAGCTTGAACTCCCTTAACTTATCATGGTACCAAAAACATTATTTCAAGAGCTATCATCATTAAAATGATTGAAACTTTATGTTTTCATTAGTATTTATAATAAGAAAATCATGTTTATGTACAGTATCATTTCTCTGTTCCTAAAGAGCTAGAACAGAAAACATTGACCCACTACAGATGTCTATGATAAAGAGATAACCGTTTCACAAGTGCAGAATTTGGTTCTAATCCTAGACTCTACTGTGTACTAGCTATGAACTTTCAGTGTGTTACTTTTAACTGCTTCTTCTTGTGTTAAAAGAGGATGGATGGTTGCCACTAACTCATAGGGTTGTTGAGGACTAAATGAGTTAATTGGACTAAAGCACTTGAAATAATGCCTAGCACATAACATGTAACATTTAAGTGCTGTTTATTAGTGTGCTATTCTGTGCTGTCCTCTACCTCATCTGAGAATCACTACGATACTATAATGTGAATAACTGTAATACTTTAGTAATACTGTAATTAGTTGACAAGCTTTGAATGCTTTCTCAACTGATTACACACTGGAAGCTCATGTTCAGTCTTAGTTGTTCTCAAATAACAGAAATTTCCCGTGGTATAGTAAAGGATAGTATTGGCTATAGCTGTACCTACCTAACAGTTCCTATCCAAAGAAGATAGTATAAGGAAGTTAAATAGCATGTATTAAGGATATTATATTACTGGTCCTAATGATAAAAGATTTTTCATATAGCATTGGAGTCATCTCACTTACTTTCATAATAATTCAGCAAAGCAGGCATTGTTGATTTTGTATAGGTAAAGCAAATGGCTCAAAGATACTAAAAAACATTTCAAGTCACATAGCTGACAATATATCTCCAACACTGAGAACTCAGTCACTTTGCTTCTCAGCGGGTCAGGGGATGTGAGGGCTTGTGGGGCATTCCACAGGTGCTGAGTGAGAGCACATGGATGTGTGATACAGCTCCTTTGTGAGTAGTTTTCATTTTGGAACTTGAAATTCATCCATTCACGCTCATGTGCTGAAATATTGGTTTTGTTGATTCAGAATAGTATGTCAATAATTAAGAATTTGAACACCTAATAAGTATATGAATGGTGTTCCTTAAACTGATCATTGATGACTTAGACTTATATTTCCCAGATAAGTAAGATTTGAAGTGTTTGAGGGCATTGCCAATCTACTTCATATGATGTTTAGATGATATTAATTCTGGGCTAGTTTTTCTCTTTCCAAATTGTGATTTCCCTCTCCCTCGTAAGGAGGGAATTGGCTGGGTCAGACATGTCAGTATAGACTATGCCAAAAAAAACCCCAAAAAACAAAAAACCAGTGTAAATCTGAGAAGCAGAGTGTGCTAAATTCTTTGCAAAGCCCTTCTATCTGCAAACTTGTATGATGCTAAGTTTTCTAATTATCCCTCTATGGTAAAACATCAGACATAAGCAAATGCCAGCTGGCACATCTAAATCATTACTATTGGCTTTTCTAGGAATGGCCAGCCAAAAATTCACTCTGTGTGCAGTCTCAGCCTCCTCTCTCATATCTCCTCCCAGCTCCTGGGTCAGCCAGTATGGTTCATCTTCAGCATTCTAAATGCAAACACTGGCATCAGTATTTGAATGTGTCAAAAAACTATGGCTTTGAAATGTTTTCAAGGTAGAGTCAGCTAAGCTATTTAAAGCAAATGGGCCATCTTTTTAGATGCAGAGAAAACATGAATTCTTATCTGAAGGTTCGGTTTCCGTTTGCTTCATCACATTTCTATTTATTCAACCAAAAAGTCTACCTAAAACCAGTTATAATAAGTACACTCCTATCTTGTGAATGCTTTTTAAAAATTTGAACAGTGGGAAGAGAGACTATTTTAATGTCCTAAGAGATGACTACTTCTAAGCCTTTAATCGATTTTTTATGCCAGCTACTTTCTCAACTTTGCAGATATAAAATTGGAATTATAATATCCAGAGAGTGATTCCATAAACTTTAAAATCAAGCTGATCCAAAACAAAGAAAGAGAAAGGAAATATAGCCACATCTCCAGTATTTTTTAATTAGTGTCCACAGCACCATTCAGGTGATGAACTTGTTGCTCTGTCCCACACAGAGTGAGAATGTGATTTTGTTTCATTACACAATAATTGCATTAGTATTCTGATTACTCCAGATTAATAAGAGAATTTTTTCAGATAACAGTAGGAGAAGGGAAGAGCACTACTTCTAAGTGAAGGGAGAAATCATTCTATTACCAAAACTGAAATGCATACTATTACATATCTTAAAAAGTTGTACACCATATTGGAATTCTTCATAGCCCATTATTTTTAAATTGTTGCAAGAACACACATTTTCATTTATCATTAAACTTTGTAGCTATAGTTTTTCCAAGTTATTTTAGGAGTTATTCATATATCTCACAGCCAGCATGAGGACTGTACCTTGCCTAATTTTTCAAGCTCTTTCTGAAACAAAGTCCAATAAATGCATAATATTTAATTTTCTTAGATATGTATCAATTTGACTATATACATTATTTTAGGTTAATAAAAGACTAAGCAATTTGGAAAAATTATAAAAATACAATCAAATACTCAAATTTCTTTCTACAGTTTATAGAATGTTTTTAAAAAGCTCATGTGCTATACAAATGGCAGTTTTCATACTCTAAGCACAGAAGTGTCAGAAAGAATCTGCAAGGAAATGGTTTCAGAAAAAATGGATTAGAGAAGGACTGGAAAAATGAATTTTTATTTACTGTGCATTTATCATGTGTCCTGCACTATATGAAATATTACAGTGATCCTTGAATCTTTATTCAACATGTCTGCCCACAGTGAGACTCTACTTAAGTTGGTGAGTTCAAGGACAGCCTGCATTACAGAGTAAGACCCTGTCTCAAAAAAAAAATCAAGTTGGATATGAGGTCTACATATGTGGAACAATAAGAGAATAATATAAGTCAGAATATATCTAAGGTCTAAGTTGAGGAGACGATATTGTTTACCCTAAATTAAAGTATGATATTTTTCTTCATTGTTGCATGAGCTCATTATCTCTTCCATTGAACAGGCATTACTTACCTTTCAGCTGGTGAATGACATGGATTAGAACATACTGTTTAACTGCTTCCTTGCTGTCATTATCTTCATCATCATCATCATCATCATCACCAGCACTGTCCTCCTCCTCCTCAGACTCCTTGTGTGTCAACTTGAGGACCTTTCCTAGGCATTATGCAGAATGACTTATATAGCAAATTCTCAGGAATTTCTAGGCCGAAGTAGGAAATAGGTGTTAGACAAACAGGCATAAATGGAAAAAGAGACTATTATACAAATATTAACATCATTACATAATACAGTATTTTACAATTCCAATGCTAAGTGGAATTTTGTACTGAGAATGGTTACTAACCTTTTCTATAGGCTATAGCGGGGACTTTCCTGAAAGTGGCACTTTAGAAGCCTGGTCTCCTGCACTAGTAAATTTGTTATTTTAACTCAATAGATAATATTCAGATAGAGATTTACCTGGATATGGTGGTGTATGCTTGTAATCCCAGCACTCTGGGAAGCTGAGGCAGTCTAGCCTAAAAATTTAGGGATGTAGCCAGCCTCTATCCCAAAATAAATTAAAAAAAACAAAAAGAGGTCTGGCAATGTAGTTCACTGGAAAGGCCCTGGGTTCCATCTCCAGTACCAAAAAGGAAAAAAGAAAGTTGTATATATAACTTGTACTTTTTCTGGCAGTAATTCTCCATGGCAGTGGGCCATGCTTACCCAGGAAATTCTGATGCTTCAATTTAGGAGGTCACTGTTCACAACTTTTCACTTCCGGATGAGAATCATTGCTTCACTGAATCACTCTTCCTGCTAGGTGTGTATTGATTCCTTAGGTATATTGGCCCAGATTCCAGTATTGATTCACCACATGCTACTTTTAATTTTTATGGTAAATTCAATAGGTATCGATGAAGCTCTAATTTGTTTTCCAAATAATCCAAATCACAACCAGTTAGTGATTAAAAGTCATAAAGTGAACTATATGTCATTTACTCCAAAGCCTGTGCTGATTTCACCGATCTGCTAGGACTCACATCCTCCACCAGACGGTTTTGTCTAAGTCATTGTTCATTTTGTTAACCTCATCCCACTTAACATTTCAGGGTTTGCTTGCTTGCTTTACATTACAATGACAGTAACCCATTTGTCTCTGCTCTTTTGCCTTAAAGGAATAACCACAGTGCTCACGATGACCACACTAAGCATCAGCGCAAGGCATTCTTTGCCCAAAGTGTCCTATGCTACTGCCATGGATTGGTTCATAGCTGTCTGCTTTGCTTTTGTATTTTCCGCACTTATTGAGTTTGCTGCTGTAAACTATTTCACCAATATTCAAATGCAAAAAGCCAAAAAGAAGACATCAAAATCTTTTCCGGAAATTCCAGCTGCTCCTGTGCCCAGTGAGAAGCAGCCTGAAGCCCCACTGCAGGTATTTGACTTAATCTCCTTCATTTAAGATTTTGGCTTCTTGGGGGAAATTGTGTGGCCAGGGGAAACGCTAATTTGGAAATATAAATGCCAGGTTCTAAGTAATTTAAAAGTACAAGCAAATATAAGAAGGTATTTATGAATTCAAACTTTAAAACAGTGATTATTAGTTTAAGCATTAGCCAGCTCTGAGTGAGCTAGATGTAGGTAAAACTAGTTTTGTTCTTTTTTTAAGTTTCTTTTAGAATTGAACGTCTTACACAGAAAAGGGAAATGCTGATGCCTACTATGCAGAGGAACTTGTGGATGTCTGTGAGAGGGTTGGGAAGGCATTTTAGTGGAGTTCACTGAATAAAGTAAAACAGTGGTTTTTTAATGTAGGCCCTTAGGAGAACCAGTCCATCAGACTGGGTGAGATCTGCTCCCCTGTACTAAAGGAGAAAACAAAACAAGCTGAGTTGATGTACCTCTAAATCTGAAAATTCTTGCTATAAAGCAACATAGCTAGTAGAATGTAGATGGCTTTCAATAAGAACTAATATAACATACATTTGGGTCTTCAGAGATTCTGCTATTAAAATAAAAGACCACGTATCTTTTCTCACATTGATCGTAATTCTATAAAAACTACAAGACCTTCATGTAAGCAGGACATCAAACCAGCAGCATCTCTCTCTCCTTTTTTCCTCCTCTTTTTCTCCTTCCTCCTCCAATATTCTTCTCTTAATCTCTCCTTTTCTACTTCCTTGTCTATGGTCACTGCACACAGCTTACTGTAGTTGCCACAAATGGTAGTCTAGTTGCCAAACCCCAGGGCTTAGAAATCACCAATTTTCTACAAGTGACGTATCAGTACTTTCTTCATTCATTCACTCACTCATCCAGTAAATATATATTTAATGTGAACTATAGCACAGACTCTACTTAGAGTCTAAGAATAAATGGGTTAAAAAAATCTGCAACATGGAGTTTATATTTATTTGTGTGGACAAGGCAGAGGAAACAAACAATCTTTGGAAACAAACAATAAAACAGGTGGTTTGTTAGGTAGGCAGAGTGCTGTGGTGATATTATATCACCTAAAGGGTCAGGCAGTGCCAGAACAGGGTAAGAATGTGGGGATTCCATTCTCAGAGAAGGCAAAGAAATGAGACTAAGCAATCACCCCGGTGGGGATTCACTGGCCAGAGTACTGCAGTTTACAGCACTGCTCCTACAGTGCTCTGGGCAGTGGTCTCTAACAAGGGTGGGTGAGTAGGTAGGAAAATGAATTTCTCACATTAAGTAAGTTTAAGTAACTCATATCTTTTCTAAATGAATCCATTCTATCAAGATTTTCAAAATTATCAAAATGCATTTTGCATACAATTTTTAGTGAAAATAGTAATAACAAAGTATGCAGTTTTATTCTTTTTCTCATTTTTCATATATAAACTTACATTCTCTCTTTTTATTCTTATTTTATTTTGTTTTGCTCTGTTGTGTTCAAAGATTGATTGAACAATTTTATTTATGGCTTCTTTAAAAAATCAACGATTGGGTTTACTTTATGTCTCTTTTCTAATTGATTTATTATTGTGTTTCAATTCCATTTTTCTGCAGGTTAATTTTGTTACTCTTTTTCTAATTCTTGGGTTCCCTTATTATTAATTTTCATTGTTCTTCATTTAATACAAAGTTTCATATCAGTGAAATTTTGACTACAGCTCTGGTCATAATTCATGATATTGATATATGATATAATTATTTGCTAAATATTCTGTAACTGCATTGCTGCTTTTTGTTTTGAGCTGAAAATATTTGGAAATAATATTAAATTTTCCAATTGGGATTTTTTTTTCATTTATGTAACTCTGTTGTCAATTTGTGTTGTATTGTGTTTGTTCTCAAATATTGCTATACAGATCAGGATGTTGTGAATATTTGCATTGTGCCTTGAGTTATGCAAAAAGCTTATAAATGTTTAATAGCAATTTGAAAGGTGTTAAATTTTAGTTATTAAGTCAATTTTACTTAAAACTTTATTACTTCGCCATTTTAATTCACCTCTAATCTTCACAACTTTTAAGTACTCATATGTGAGCAGTTCTCTTACAAATATTATGAGATTGAATTTTTTGCATTTTAACCATTTTGTTTTATATATTTTGATGCTGTGACATTCAAACTGTAAAGATTCACAGTTGCTCTATTTCCATACCAGTTCATGCATTTAACCATAAAGTAAACTTCTTATTTTTCTAGACATAATGTCTTTTCCCTTGAATTACATTAGACGTGATTTCAATTTTTCTTTTTTCTTTTTTTGTGATGTGGGGATTTGAATGCACAACATTGTGTTTGCTAAGCAAGCACACTACCGCTGAACCATGCCCCCAGCTCAGATGTTAGTATTTTTATCTTGTTTTAAAAATATTAATCTTGTTATTATATTTTTATAATTTAAAAATGTCTATTCTTTATTTTCTCAAGTATTCTGGATGTTATCTGTCATGTTTTTATAACACTAATGACGAAGTTTATCTTTAAAACAATATTATTTCAACTTATGATATTTCACCAATGGTGAAGTTATAAAATATATTGTTTATCCTATGTAGATTTTAACTTTATCAACTTCACTCTAATATTATGACTCTAGATTTGGAAATGTATTTAAATATGGACATACGTACATATCTGTGTTTATAGAGAGTAGGTATAGTTCTTTTCATTTATACAAACTGATGAAACTTACTGCACTAGTACAATGATGAAATATTATAAATGCTTGAAAGTGTAACTTAATCAGAATAAAGTTGTCCTGCAGATTTCCAGAGATGGAAAAAGAATCCATAGTTTTCTATTTGGTCTCTTAAACATCTTTCTTTACTATAGCAATTGACATCACCAATAAATGCTTGTTTGAATCTACCCCATTGGTTACAACCATTAAGGTCTAGTAACTCCTCTTTACAGTGTGGGGGACCTCTTGCATGCACATGTCATTATCCAAAGTCAAGAAGATGAGATGTGTATGAGAAGGGCATAAAGCTATTCCATTCAAGTATTGAGAAGGACTTTAAAATAAAATTAGTAAAAATATATAGTATGTGTTTCATTCTTCTGAAACTTGTGACTTTGCATGTGTAACAACTCAGATCTTTACATCAGTTTACTCAAAGAATGTCTGTATTCTAATGACAGTGATAAATGAGTTGTCCCACCCAACTTTCCAAGTCCCACTTTCTGCCAGAGTGCAGCTGGCTTTGAAGAGTCAGTTTCATTAAATCGCTTCAGAATCACATTCAACTGTACAGGCTGAGAATAGATTAAAATTAAGGGAAAGACAGGGAGAATATACGTAACAAGGGAGAAGAAAATCAATATGGGAAGATTGTGCTAGGAGCAAAATTTTATAGCATATGACTGGCAAGAAATAGTCTAAGAATTTGATAAGGTTTGGAGTTTCTGTAGAGATTCTAATCAGACAACTGAAATTTGCTTATTCAAACATGTGCCTCAGTGTGTACTACTATTTACTTATTTGAATGATGCTGCATTTGCTTGAAATGTGTTTGATACCCTCATTTAGAACTGACTTAAAGTTTAAAGTCAGTTATAGTTCACTATTCCTTTGGGAAGCTCACTTGCAGTTCATTCATTGTCACCATACGTGACCTGTGGACTGCTAATGGATTGCCAGAGGCCTATGGTGGCCATTTCTGTTCCTTGGGAATAGAAAAGCTTATGGTTTATGAAATACTCATGAAGTAAAACGGAAAGGCCAATTGGCAGAAAGTGTAAGTAGCCATCAGCAGCTTGAATATTTCTTTGGTAGCTCAGAAGGAAAAGCACCTGCTCTGTTTCTGCTCATCACTACCTTAATTCCTCCATTGACTCCATCCTAATATTTGAACTGACCTTCATTCTTGTGCATCTTGTGAGTCTATCCTTCCTACTACTTTTTAAAGTACCTATTCTTCACTGATGGAGGTGATTTGGATGAATAGAACGGTATGAAAAAATTAGCAGCTCTGTAATTTTTTAAAGGAAACCTTTCTTAATGAAATTGTATTTTCCAAAAATCACTTAAAATATATCCTTTAGTCCTTTTCACTCAAAGTAGACATTAATGTATGCACACCATATCTTAAAGAGAAAGTTCCATGGCTTGATAAGAATGGCTAACACTTGAATTCCTGCTTTTCTCAGGTATTATGTGATTATTTTACTTGTGTTAACTGCAAGTTCATGATAACTATTTCACTGAGGCTTGCAGCTCAGAAGTGATACACTCATGGTAACACAGCTAGAAAAGGGTAAAACTAGTACTGAAATTAATTCAGCTATGTCTGCTGTGGAGCTTGTTTACTGAAAAGAATTTATATATGATATATCTATAAAGAATATATATATATATAGTACAGGTATTTACATATATATATGTGTATTCATATAAATAATAAGCTCAGTACAGTCTTTTTGCTTATATTTCTATGAAAATTCAACAAAATTGTAGTAATCTGCATGCTTTGTGTGACAATAATAGGAAGTTTTAGAGCTATATTATTCATAACTTAGTTATAGTAATCTATAGAATATGTCCTGTTTTATTCATGTCTTGCCAATGAGGTAATTAGTTAGGAATCAGGGCACTTGATCAGTTAGTGGCAGTGGTGGGACAGTGAGCCCCGTGCGTGTAAACCTGACACCTAAATGGCTGATTAGGTACGCTGGGTCAGGGGTGTGGAGGATGGACAGGATGGGGGGCATCATTCACTAGGGGAAGAGAAATGAAGCACATCTGAGGAAGAACTTATTAGCTCAAGTTTAGATATTCTTAGCAGGACTTTTCCTTTACTGGAATAACTATAACTTTTTTTTCAGATTACAAGTATATATCTTTACTGCTTAAATTTCCTTTTCTATTTAAACAATTTCTTTTTCTTTGGCTTCCCATGCCACCATCACTGTTCTGCATGGATATTTCACTTTTAAAGTGGTCACAGGTACAATGCT